TCCACTAACCCACCAGCCTGCCCACTATGTAGAGGTGACGTTACTGGGTGGGTTGTTATTGATGAGGTCCGTGTTTATCTGAACATGAAGAAACGGTGCTGCGAAGAGAAGCAGTGTTCATATATTGGCAACTTCACTGAGCTGCAGAAGCATGCTCAGCTGAAACACCCCCATTCACGCCCTTCAGAAATAGATCCTGCACAACAACTCGACTGGGAAAATTTTCAGCAGTCGTCAGAGATCATAGATGTCTTGAGCACTATACACGCAGAAGTTCCCCATGGAGTGGTTTTAGGTGACTATGTCATCGAGTATGGTGATGCAGAGACTGGAGATGAGCATGAAGATTTTCCTCGGAGTAGGGGTAACTGGTGGACCTCTTGCATATCTTGTAAGGTATTTCATAGGGGTTCAAGAAACCAGCACAGATCAAGAAGGAGCAGAAGAAGTGGTCACCATTCAAGCTCTGATGGTTCAAATAATGGTGAGGGCTCTAGAAGATCTTCAGAGATCAGAGAGTACAGATTTGTTGAAGCTGATGATGAGCTTGCCAGAACAGGTGTTGGTGCTGCAGCGTCCATTGTGATCCCCACCCACTACAGGTACGAGTGAACTCTTTGTTTCTCTCTGTGAATATGACTCCGTGATACTAGCAAAAAATTATTAACTCGGATAGGTTCTTTGAGGCAAAAGGTAGGGCAGATATGAGCAGTAGGCTCAATCCTCCTAATTATGTTTCTGTTTATTGCCTTGTCTAATATCTTGTTGTTTGGGCAACATGTGCAGATATGGGAGGCGCAGATCTCACTTCTACGATCTTTGACTGCCAAGAACCAACAATAGCTAGTCTATCAGCCAGGGGCATCTTTGCAGCTTCATACAGCTTAGTTCTACTTTCTTCATAGAGGTTGCCTGATGACAATTAATCTGTTCATATAAATAGTTACGGTATATGTTTCATCATGCATTCCTTGCCGAAATCCAAGAATCCATCAATTTTCTCTCTTCTTTGTTATGCAAGCCTAAATTTTGTTGTCTTTAGCAACAAAGAGTGGTGTGAGTCATGGGCTTGTTTGTTTAATTTGCTTTGATTCTGAAGATAGAAAAGGTCACCATGCTTCTGCTTTTGGTTGGTGCTGAGTCCAACTCTATTACAAGCGCGAACAGAGTTGGAGTGGAATGCAAAGTTTTGTGGATTGAGAATGTTATGTTCCTCTGATGTTTTGTTACTGTAGTCTTGTCTGTGGAATTTGGTGCATGATTATATTGGCTAAATGGGTGTTAGATGGGAAGTATGTGCAAAGCATATAGTTTCCTTGTGTTTGTTGGGATATACTTCCCAACTGTTCTCTTATAGGAAGCTGGGCTCATGCATGTGCTTTGCATGTGAGGATAGTGAAAAAACGGAACTGATGATATATACCATTGCTTGAATTATGGATGCAGACATTATATATTTAGTAAAAAAAATCCTGTAGACATTCATTTCATGGTCATTGAGAATGCTTCAAATCAGATGTTTGTATTTTCTTATTCTTATGACTTGTATTGAACCAAGATTGAAATGATTGAAAATGTTAGATATTGTAGAATGAATCAAATAGATGATTCTATTCTTGATTCTTATGATTTAATTAAGATGTAAATGATTGAAAATCTTAGTCATCTACAACTACTAATAAATGATTCCTCAAAAAGTTATGGATTACTAATACATTTTAGAGATCAAATAGATTCTGTCTTATACTAATGCTAGGATGGTAATTACAAGATAGAATTAGATTAATTCTTTTGGTTATCATGTAGAATTCATACTCTGATCCACCACCACCATCTCTCTGCTGCAGGGAAAGACCATAATCTCTACTGATGGCTTTTGTATTTCCAGCAGCAGATATGTGATTCATTTATTAAGGAAATGTGACCATGATTTCCATTTCCATTTATTAAGGAAATGTGTACATTATATTAGTTTCATCTTCATCTTATGTGCACTGAAAAGAATACATTTATCAACCTTTCTCCATTGTGAGATCCTACAGATAGTGTCAGGCTTTGACTATGCAGGAATGCTATTCTAATGGGGAGTGTCAAAACTCCATCACCTTTTCATCATACCAGCAAGCTTAAGTTGATTCCTTTGGGAAGAACAGACATCCATCATATGCTGCTGATGGCAATTTTAAATTAGAACATTATCTTTTCAACTCTCATTTGATTAATCTGTGCATTGATGAGTAGTAAAGAACAAAGCAGATCTAATATAATGTGCTCCACACAGATCCTAAAATTGCCCAACAAGACCACTTGAACAACCTAGTTTTGCTTGCCAATGCTCTCCAGAGCAGTGTCTCACCATATCCAAGACAACAAATTGCTGCATCCATTAAAGCAAGCTATAGACACTGTTGGAGAAGTTGATTAGGTGACCACTACTCCATTGAGTTATGACTGAGAGGTAACAGGTCAGCTTTGCAGCAGCCATGTATTTGGAGGATTGCATGACTTATTCCCAGCTTCCTAGTTTACTTGATTTTTCTTTGTACTTCTCTTTGCATGATTGTCTCAATTCATTTGTCTCAAGCCTTGAGTCTTGATGTGATTGACAATGGAACACATAATGATAAAGTAGGTTTAACCAAACATTGACTTAAGAAGTGTTTCAATCTTCAATCATGGCATTCACTTAAAATTTACCAAACAAAACAGGATAATATAGCAAGAGGATGATAGTCTATCAGGCAATATTATGGAATATGGATCATGAATAATGCACAATCCAAGTGGACAGTCTTGTTATTGTCCATCAATACTATACCCACAATCTAAAATCATTTTTTCATGCAGTCTATGGTGCAATGCACAATGGCAGTCTACATTGTATCACCTCACATTGCTGCATAATCTACATTCTCCTTTCACTGTTAATGACACAACTCTAGGATAGATTCTTTAAGTTGCATGAAGGAATGAAAAGAGGCTATGGTGTAAGATAGAAACATGAAGTTTGAAGAGGAGTGCAAGTAAATTTCACAGTATTGGTTTTCACAATACCTCTAGGATACATCATGAACAATTGACTTCAGCCAAAAGCAATGGCTGGTCTTGCCTGCTTAATAGAAGAATTATATATATATATATATATATATATATATATATATATGTGTGACTTCTAGTGAGACTTTGAATTGACTTGTACCTGCCCACTAAACAAAGAAAGAAAACTTCTTTGGAGACAATGCCACAAAGTCAAAAGGCTAACAGCAAACACCTTCTGGGCTTTGTCCCTGCTGTCCACAGGATATTTCCTGGTGCTTGGGTAGAAGAGGAAGATCCATGGCAAGAAATTGAGAGGTGAAACAAATGGAGATATCATTTGATAGATTATTTGCTTGGTGGTTGACAATTTTGAATGGTGCTTCAAGAGGAAGTAATGGCTTGTCTTGGGTCACAGAAAGACCTGCTTATATCACTTCTAGCTAGTTTCCATCTTTGCTGCATCTCTTTGAAGAAGATGGTTCAGTGATCTATGTAGTTCTATTCTTCATTTTGAGGAATTTTTGCAACAATACTTTGAAATATTGCTCAGAGGTTTTTTTTTTTTTTGCATATACATATTATTTTAGGAGATTTATTGTGTATACATGTGGAAAATTAAAACCACAACATTCCAGATGCTAAATTCCAATTGCATCAATCAAAGCTACAGTAATCTCCCAATTACCCCCATCTTCCTCCTCATTGTTATCTCTTGTGCTTATCTGATGGTGCTCTTTCCTTAGATTAAGAGCAGTCTTTGTTGCTGATGCCATTGCATCCTCCATGAGATTCCAGTGCTCTAAGCAAAGACAAGAGGAAGAATACCCACATCTCCTCCTTTTCCATTGATTGCTCACATCTAAGTCCTCATGCTTTATGTAATTAATTCTGTCATTATGACAAGGAAGGCTGCCTTTTGGGCTATCTTTCGAAAGGTGGCAGTGTCTTGGACCACCTCCTCCCTTGACACCAAGGTCAAATGTAAGAGTTTACTCCATATCTTAGGTGTAAAGTTTTCTTTTCCACCTTAAATTGATGAGACTTCCTCATCAACTTGTCCATGAAAGAAAAGGTATGTTCCCAAAGTAGACTACTCTTGTTTAGTTGGAACCAAGTGCATTTTAGTTTGGAAAACAATAATTGGTATCAGATACAATTGGTGGTCATACAACTTTGTGGAGTTCATTTGGGTTATATCCTGACATTGGTTGAGATGGAAGAAGGACATTGGATGGTTTCATTTTTGGTTAATCATGGTGATTTTTATAGGGTTGTGGTGATTCATTGTGAATTGGGACAAGTGGTTGTTGACTTCAATTAGATTAAGTATATAAATGGTAAAGTTGGATTGTGCATGTCAGGGCTTAGTTAGTCATGCACATATTTGCATCTTTGAAGTTGTAGTTTCATGGAGGTCCATCAATCATATAGAGCAAATTAAACATGTAAAGTTTGAGTTTCATCAAGGTTTAAGCCTTTGACAATTCTGAAGAACCTAACTATATGGACTAGTTCAATATAAAATATAATCATAGACTTCATAATCATCTCAAAGTTTGATGAATGTCATCTATTGGCTCATCATCAAACTAATACAGATCATTTGTGAATCAAGTACACCTGGTTCTATTACCAAAGTCAGAATTAAAGGGCAAGCCTAGTGGAAACTATCTACATGAGATCTTCCATTCAACCTTATAGATAATGTTAGGTATAAGATCAAGGCATTCTTACTGCTGGTAGCTATTGGATATGATTGCTGTAGATCACTTTCAAAGCAAACCATGGTGGACTTTGTCAATCTCATAAGATTTGAGATCTGAAAACTTTTAATTTTAAGGGGAAAAGGCAGTGGCCAATTGGAAGAAACCCTAGTTTTCAGCAATTTTGTCCTATACCAAAAGCATCACATCATCCTTCTTTCTCTCCTGGTTTCTTCCTATATAGCTTGGCATCAACTTCTTTGGTTGTTCACCACCCAAGTCTGGGACATCAAATTTTCTTTGGGCTGAGGAGCAGAGAGAGAGAGAGAGAGAGAGAGGAGAAAGAAGAGAGATGGGAAGAGCTCCATGCTGTGACAAGGCAAATGTGAAGAAGGGACCATGGTCACCTGAGGAGGATGCAAAGCTCAAGGCTTACATTGAGGAGCATGGAACTGGTGGAAACTGGATTGCACTGCCTCATAAGATTGGTTAGTGATTACCACAAACCCTTACTGACTAGGCTTTGGCTTTTAATGGATCTTCTTCCCTGACAGAAAACCCATTCTGGATCTTTGGTTCGTTAGAACTTTATTTCCTTGGAGAGCTGTTGCCTTCTCTATATCTGCTAATCTATAAGGTTTTCTTGAGATAAGCTTAATATAGTAGAAGAGGCTGAAGCTGTTGCCTTCTCTATATATGTCATCTTCATATCCAAGGATGAACACATTTAGATGCAGAACTGGTCACAAAAAAGAGAAGAGAATTATTGATCACATAGAGATGGAGGAGCCTAATCATAGCCAAAACACCATTAGAGGGTTTCTATGTTCTTCTAAGTTCATGTTCTATCCTTTTGCTTTCCTAGTTTTCAGTGATTTGATCATGATAAGAAACCTAGCTAAAACCTTTTGTTTGCAGGATTGAAAAGGTGTGGCAAAAGCTGCAGGCTGAGATGGCTAAATTACTTGAGACCAAACATCAAACATGGTGGTTTTACAGAGGAAGAAGATCAAATCATCTGCAGCCTCTACATCAGTATAGGGAGCAGGTATATCATACTACAACTACTCTCTCTCTCTCTCTCTCCTTTAGACCCAACTCAAGCATTTCGGTGATGAAACTGAGATTTCATGCATGTATTAGGTGGTCAATAATTGCAGCTCAGCTGCCAGGAAGAACAGATAATGACATCAAGAATTACTGGAACACAAGGCTAAAGAAGAAACTCCTCGGCAAGCGAAGACAATCTGCTCAATCTCCAAGCCTCCACCTTAACCAAGCGGCTGGTGAGGGAGCTAATGGAGTGAACCATGAGGCACCCTCTCAAACCCTAAGCGCATCAGCCCTCGAAAGGCTGCAACTCCACATGCAGTTCCAAGGCCTCTACCACCCCTTCTCCTTCCACAACCACCCTGCACGCCAGCCCAAGTGCCATCCACCAGGAGATCCCACTGCCACAACCCTAATTCAACAAGTATCCCCACCGAAACCTGATGCAGGACACCTGCAAGAAATAGACTGCTCGTCAGTAGGGTTTCACTCACCTTCGGCCATGGAGACTTCGAGCTCAAACCTTGATGCAGGTCTTGAAGCTGACCTCCAGGACTTGCTCTACTGCAAGAACTCCTCCTCCTTTGTAGGGCATGAAGAGCATCAACTTGCCAACTTAGACTACTACAAAGATTTGTATGGCGAAAGGGAGACTGCAAATTGGTGTCCTTGTAATGGTTTGGAGGATCAATCGTCGTCGATGGGATCTTGGGATTCAGCTTCAGCTCTCCATTCTGATGCCATGATTCAAGAGTTCGCGTTACGGTACAATCTATAGGGATAAACAAGACTGAGATCTTAAGCTTGAGAAGGTGGATGTTGTTGAGGTTTTAGGCTTGAGTTTTATGTGTTTGTGCATCAAGTGTCTTAAGAACACTCAGTACTGTAAATGCCTCAATAATACTTAAGCTGGATTGTTGCCTTCTTCTTCTTCTTCTTCTTCTTCTTAGCAACTAATCCATGTCAGGTTCTCTTTGGTGTTCAAAAGCTACACCAAGCATTATTCCATGACAAAAGGAAACCTTCCTTTCTGCTTGCAGCCATTACAAAGGAGGATCACATGCTTTGGCCAGTAAAAGCTAAAGTGCATGCATCTCTTCCTTCTTTAGATGAATAACATGCATTAAATCTGGCATGTGTGTGTTGACATAACAACATTTAGAGGTGCTGCAGTCTGCTTTACTTCTTTGGTTATGTTCTTGCAGCCTTGACAGATTCTGCTACTAGGAGACAATTACAACTCTTCTCTTTCTTGGTAGCTTCTGTCACATAAACTCAGTTCTTCAAGCTTAGGTCGTCTCATTCCTATACATATAATGCATATGGCATTCTCTAACATTTGAGATGTGTTTTTTTGGGGACTTCTTTTTGCAGTTTTGCAGTCCTTTTTTTTCTTTTTGAAATGAAAAAAAGGGTTTTTCAATCTTCCCTTAAAAAAAAAGAAAAAAATATAATTATATATATTAGTCCAAATAAATTAGATCATCACCATTTCTTTTATACGACATACTTATAATGCTAGAAGATGTGCAATTTTATGACGAGGGAGAAAGATAGTAAAAATAATATTTTCGGTCGGTGCATGAGACTTCTACCAATACAAGCTCCGAAAAGAATTGATATATGCCATCATTACTCTCATGGATATTTCTAAACCTTCTTGTATGTGAGTTAGATTGAAGTTTTCTTTCTTTTTCTTTTCATGCTAACCGACATCATCCGATTAAACGAATAAACAAATTAACAAGGTTAAGGACAGATAATTCAGAACATGGTAAAAATAGTCATAATAGAATTATAGAACATGATTAGAATGTTCAGCAAAAAGATATGTTTAGCCACTTGGGTCCATTAAACAGACAGCTCTGAATCAAAAGAAACCTTACAAATTTTTACATTGCTTTGAGACCTTGCAACATCCCTTAATACATCCAAAATGGAAGCTCAAAAGGTGCCATAAAAGGTTTGTGCCAAAGCCACTTCAATGGCCCAAATGGCCTTCATAGATTATAAGCAACTTGGAGTTATTTTAAGTTGGCCATGTACTACTTTTTCATGTCAAGAATGTCAAACACAAGAAGCTCTGACTGCTATTTACTGACTGTATTCCACAATCCTTTTTCCTGCTATATATATGTGAGTTCTTGAGCATATACTCATTGCTTGCAGACCCAAGAAACATATGAATCAACTGCAAGGCACCACAATTTCATGGAAGTTTCTCTTCCATGTGCTTTGCACTTCACTAGCATAAGCAAAAGCTCAGGCTGTGAGTTTAGTGTCAAAAGCATGGTTGTGCTTTAGAGCAGATGAATCTTTTGTTCTGCTTTGGAATGCCACAGCAGAAGAGAAGAATGCAAGCAGGAAGAAGACACATAACATGATGTAGGAAAGAAGATGGCCATTGATGGATTACTCCAATCTGTGCTAAGGAGTGCTAAATCTTAACCCAGTTTTCTGTTCCATACTTAGAAGGCCAAAACTTGAAGAGAAGAAAGAAGACAGTGAGGCTACAAACAACTTATGAACATGAACGTGAGGGAGAAATCTCCTTGAATCTTCCAAAGAAAAGATTCATGTTTCTCATAGAAAGAAGAGAGAGGGAGAGAGAAGAAAACTCCTTGAATCTTCCAAAAAAATTCAGCAAAACACATAGAAAGACTGTAACAAGATGATCATCTTTAGCTTCTGTTGTTCTCCATCACCAAAATCTACAGCTTCATTGCAATATGTAGCAATCCAAAGAACAGATGAGCAGCTTGGAACTGATAACCAGAGATGATTCCTGACTTGTTCTATCTCCTTACCATCCAAAGCAAACCTCTGCTTGCAAATGCAGGTGTTTCATCCACCATTGATGCTGCTGCTACATGGCTGTGGCAGCTCCTAGCCTCCACATCCAAACACCAAGAGTCCCTGTCGTCTGTCACTGTAACAGGGCTGCTGCTACTCCTCTGCTTGACGTCATCCCTTCCCCTGTGCAGTGGTAACCGGAATGACGAAGCCCGCCTGGAAGCATCATCCTCTGCAACCAGTTCATCTTTCCTTGAGCGCAGCCATGTCTTCGAAACAGAGTAGCTCTCCTTCCTGTGCAAACCGGCACTCGTGCTTGCATCACCACCACCTCTCGATACCACGCTTGTTGATGCATCAAATCCTGTGAATCCCTCTCTTATTGAGCGGCAGTCACATTCTGACACCGCAGCCCGGTGGCCGCGCTGCTTGAGAGCCGTCTTCTTCTTGCTCGGTTTTATGGTGACTCGAAGCGAGGAGCTCTCATCCATCACGTACTCATAGGCACCCATGGAGAAGCATCTCCTTTGATCCAAACTACTACTGCCACTACCAGTCTCTCGGCCTTCGCCTCCGCCATCATCCACACTCCTCAGCTTTCCGATCTTAACAGGCACTACTTTTGCCTCTGCCTCCTGCTTGTCATTGGTCGAAGGCACACAGTCATCCTGTCCGGGGAGATTAGAGGTGTTCCCCCTCGAGCTCTCACCACCAGACTCGAGAACAAGTACCACAGGACTGCAGCTACTGGCAGGAGACAGTTCGGTGGGGAGGCTTCTTCTACAGAGAGGACAAGTGGAGTGGGAGAGGAGCCAGGTATCGATGCACTGCAAGTGGAAGGCATGGCTGCAACCTGGAAGCAGCCTGAGCTTGTCATCGGATTGGAATTCGCAGAGGCACACAGCACAGTCGAATGGGTCTTTCAGGCCTATGATGGATTTGTATTGGAAGACAGGAAGGGAGTCGATGAAGGATTGGTCCACTCCTGAATCATGGAGGTGGAAGAGCTGCTGTAGCTCGCCTTGAAGAGCTGTGACATTGCTCATGGCATCTGGCTCTCTGTGATTGGGTCTCAGGAGGTATCGCACAAGGAGGTGGAGGAGTCCAGAGATGAAGAAGATGGCTGCTAGGATGACAATGATGAGAAGGATGGTAGGAGTAATCCTGTTCTCAAAACTAATTGCAGGAGGAGGTGGTGGTGGTGGTGGGAAGGATGGTAGTGGGAGTGAGACTGGAGAAAGAAGGCTGTCTCCCTCCATGCTTTCATGCAACCAGCTTAAAGAGAACAGATAAGAGAAAGAGAGAGAGAGAGAGAGAGAGAGAGAGAGATGAGACTCACCTGAACATGCTACCTAAGAAACTCCATCATCAGTCTTACAAACATTTGGGGTGTGTGTGTGTGTGTGTGTGATGGATTCTCTTCGCTGCAAGAAGAAAGAAAGGCAGAACAAATATTTTGCAGGTGAAGTTGAGGAAGTTGGAAGATGGGGATCCTCAAAATAAAGGAGAAGTTAATGGTGTGTCAGCTGATGGGGTCAGACATAAATGAATCCAAACACACTTGAATGCTGCTTATTTCTTTTGTGAGGTCTTCTTTTTAATGGCAATGAACATGCCACATATTTTCCCAAGGGAGGATGTGAATCTTTTAGGAACTCCCACTCTCTTCAAAATCCAATGCTGCTACTGCTTCTTCTTCTTCTTCCCTTCCATTTGACTTTCTACACAGCTTTTCTGCAGCAGGCTCAATGCCCCATTAAATTCCCCTACCATTCAACCAAGACACAATAGATTTGTAGAACTCCAATCCAACATTTTTGATATTTATTCAATCCATTCTACATGCCTCATGTTTGCATAGGGATTGCTGCTTTGTGTCCTTTTCTGTAGCCCTTCTCTTTTGACCCAGATAATATTGACAGCAGCATGGATAGGGAGGATTTCAGGGTATGATGCATGGATTGGGGTGGGTTGACATTGCAGATGCACAGGTTTCATGGAGGAAATGGATCTCATGATCTGTGCAGGCAAAAGAGGAAGTCATGGAGACATGGACATGATCAAATGGCTAGGTTTTCCAGGTCTTGTGTCATGGGGCACTGGGGACTTGGGAGGTGTGTGGGGTGTGCCTGGAAAGATGGAGCCCCACATAGGAGTTGGGGTTGGACTTAATTGCCATGATCCTGGAGAGACAGCACTGGAGCTGCAGGTCAATGCTCCAGTGTTTGGGTTTTGATTTAGCTATCTGGAATTTTCTTTTTTTTTGTGCTTTGTTGATTGAAATTGTGTTAGATTATCTTAGCTGGTCAAACAGAAACACAAACACCAAGCTGATGCATTCATCTTGTGGTATTAACTCCTAAGACAACACAGGATAAATGATTTCATGTTCTGCTGTATTTATTGACCAGTGGTTCTAAACTAGGTTTTGTGTACATGGAATCAACTAACTAGAGGTCAACTTCCTTGAGTCAAGTATGGTGCTATCAGAACAACTAATCAATCATCAACAAGAAATTATATCTGCTAATAAAAACAAGGAGTCAAGAAATTACCTTCTTAGGCACCAACAGCAGTTCTAGCAGAAGAGTGATGACAGCAATAGGACTCTTTATCTGCAGATGCTTATTTGAAGGATGCTTACAACCATGGAACTTATATCTGAACATCATGATTTGTTCTTGTTGTTATCTGAACAATAAGATTCTCTTTGGTGATTACTAATTGCCAAATCCACAACCTCTTCTTGAGATCCAAAACTATGAGCTTGAAGCCTTGATATTAATTCAAATTTATTCAAATGATGGACAACTTTGTTTTTATCATGTTTTCTGATATAAGCATCATGTAAGAGAACTGTTCTCTTATGTCTCTATCCTATATTATCTTTTTTGCCAAGACAAACTACAGTGGCTGGTGAGTGCTCCACACAACACATGTCACTGACATATTGCTTGTGCCCAACACAAAAAACAGACCAAGTTGACCCTTCCAAAACCAAAGAGTTGACAGTAAGGTCTTGGACTTATGGGTTTCCATACAGTAATCTATGATTTAATATGCCTAACTTGTACTGACCACACTATAGCTGTGTGGTCCAATATATAGAAAGGAATTCATACCCTTCAAGGAGGTGATATCATTGTTCCTTTGATCTAGCATACACTACCCAGCAGATGACCTGCCTTGGCAACTACATGTTGTCTCATGCCAGAGACAGAAAGGAGACTACATCATTTAAAATCCTGTGTGCTTGAGAAACAAATGGCTCTAAATAGTTATCAAATGTCTTGTGTTTTTCTTTTGTTTATTTTGAGAAGAAAAGGTGGCAGAAAACCATGGGGAATGAAAGGGGATAAAGAGACTGTGCAGCAGTAACACCAAGAAACTTCTCCAATCTCATACTCTTTTCCGCTACTGAATACTCCCATCACTATTGTGCTTAAGGAGATCCAAGAACTCCCTTTTTGTCTCACAAATTCTAACATATGGTTAAAGAGAACAAGTTCCAAAGCATAGGAACTCCCCATGAAGTACAAACTTCAATTACATACATACTTTTAGAACTATTACAGTATAAATATAGAACATGGTTTGTAGTCTTTAAGCTGAGAGCAAAACAAGAACAACTGTGAATTTGGATAATCAAAGCTTTACATGCCTTTATGTATCATTATTCTGTAGTATGCCATGCAGAATTCAGCTTTGAATTACCTAAGATAAGAACAACTAGCAGCATACATACTCTGAAGTTCTTGGCCTATTTTTTGTTGCTTGTCTTACACGAGTCTAAATTTTGGAGATTGTTGACATGGATTCCTAGCAGTACTACTTTTGTTAACACATGTAGTATAGGTCGAGGAATCAACAGCGTTGCATACTGTATCATGGATTTTTTTTCTGATGGATGATATCACTATCAACAATTATATGCTTAAGTTCACTTCTAGAATGGCCATGATTTGAACAGTGACCAGTACAAGCCTATCATGAATTCAGTAATTTCATGTTACAAATCAGCTGCTATAGAAACCTTCTTGGATTTGTTTTAGAACAAATGTCCAGCCTATTGATGCTTCAACCTTCAACCCACAAACAAAGGCTGGTAGACTTAGCACTATAGTCTATTTAATGTGGTGCTAATCACATTCTTCTGCTAGGAAATAGTATGTGCCAATCACAATTTCCCTGACACTAAAGACTTTCTGATATTCCAATATATGTAAAAGTTAGGATCCAGAACTCAGCATTTTGCCACAAGCTAAATGACTAAACCATAAACCCTGCCTCTTCAAGTTCAATGACTAGAGATATCATTTTCTTGAATCACTCAATTGATCATAGCAAGATTGTATAATTTGTTAACAACAATGACCAGATTGCATAACATTAGGATATATTTTGACATAAATGAGGCTCATAAGAGGAAAGTTTCCAGCTAGAATTCAAGATCTCTGTTTGTCCAAAACATAAGCTGTTGAAGAGTGCTCACTAATTATGTTCATTAAGACACTTTATCAACTCTTTGCCCTCCAAAAAATTTACATTACATACCCAGTATTTTCACGAATTTCATCAGACAAAAGATTCAGGCCATTCTAAATGTCCAACACATCGCATTCCAACTCATTGAATCCTTCTACCTATGACCTTCTTTCTCATGTTCTCATGCTAGTGACAACTACTAGATTGTTCATTTTTTTTGCTAAAATCATGTGGTGTGGGGAAGATTTGGGTTTGCAACTTAATTGCTTGATCCTGGCATGGCATGGTGCCAATCTTTATTATTTGTGCAGCACTCCAGCAGTCGGCTATTAACTTCACAAATCCATGACAGAGCTGTCCCTTCCAATTTTGCACCCACTAGTATAATCTCAACACAATCATGAGCAGGTAGAAGCAGATACATGACAAGATAGAGATCGAAAGGAAGTCTTGGGGAAAGCTGTTGCTGTGGCATGAGACAGATCAGAGATTCATGGCTCAATGAATCTCCAACTGTAGCTACCTTAAGCAATTGTTTCATTTCTGATTTATGTACATGTAGTTATTTAATATAATAGCAAGTGATATTCAGTAAAATAAACTTTTACAAAAAATTAATTTTGAATGAATACCTCCTCAGAATACAATTGAATGTGTCTCAGACATGTTACAGTCTTATAATTTCAAACAGTAAATGTACAAGGACACTTTTGAATGACTTCAGACATTTGTCTCCAAGTCCACAAAAAGTCATCCTTATGTCAAAGGATGGCCCATGTTCATAACCACCCACCTTGAGTAGGTTACCTGCAATGTATTGAAAGCTAAAGCTGTCACCTGGACAAGCCCATATCATTGTGTTAACTTGATAAGGCTAGCCAATTGACTTCTTTAGTAACAAAAATGCAGTCCTCTTCCAACTTCAAGATTCCAAAATGGGTCAATGATTTGATTTGCCAAATAGGCAGTAAACTAAAGAAGGGTACATTTTATATGAAAATTTCAGAAAAGTATTCCAAATAAGATTGTTTATAGTCAAGTTTATTTTTAATCCAACTGTCACATTAAGATGCATCAAATCAGAAAGCTACCAAAATAAATGGCCAGAACTGATCCTACTACGAACTCAAGAATGAGCTTTTTAGCCAAACTCAAGAAGTAAGTAGTCAATTCAACAGACTGAGTTTGCTTGTATAAATTAGTAGAGAGCTTATCTAAACTTGCTGAGAACAAGCCCTCTGCAGATGCAGACAAGTTATTTGAAACATGTAAACTCAAAGACAACATAGCAGGAAAAAGACAATGAAAAACCATCAAGGATTTGTCAAGGATGAGAAGATGGATAGGCATACACAACCTGAAGCATGTTTTTATATGCACTTTTTCTTTTTTTTACTGAAAAGAAAATTTCATTACTAAATCAAGGTAGAACAAAAAGACACCGCAGCATCAGAGCAAAAGAAAAACTCTAAACGAGAGGGTCACTTCCCTCTCCAAAAAACAAGGATTTCCTCTCTCTGGCATGTTTAGCCAACCAATTGGCTACTTCATTTCGTTCTCTAAACACATAGACGATAATATGTACATCCAATTGCCCAAAAGGGCCCAGATACTATGCACAATACTTCAAACAGCTCAAGGAATAGCAGATTTCTTTTGTAAAATTCTGATAAGGAGCAACGAATCAGATTCAATGTGTACTGTTTTTATATGCCCTGCTTGTCTTTTTTTCTTTCACTACAAACAGGCTATCAGTATCTCATGCCATAATGACATCCCATTTTGTCACAATCCCTCCATATATATGGTTCAACCTTTCTGAAAACCATTTCAACAACAGATTTAATAACAGTCTACGGCTCTATACTTCAAAATGATCAAACAAAGGAAGAAGATCCTTTCCTATTAACAGACACCTTTTGCAGTATGTCCTCTGTTTTTTCTGCAACAGTAATGCTGAAAATTTAGTGGACTAAAGGTACCATATTTACATCAACAAGAAAAAAATGAATCAT